GAAACTGTAAATTACTTGGTGAATTGTAAGGTGCCTAGTTAATTAATCTGATGACCTTCTTTTGTAATAGTAAAATTGGATTGGTTCTAGTTTTGTATGTATTTCCCCATATTTCAATACCATACGTTAAGTATGGTGTGACAAGTGAACTATAAAGTAAATGTAATGCATTTTTGTTCAATTAACATTAACACATTAGTATGTATCATCGAGTATGAGCTCCATATTCTCACTACATCATACTGTATGAGCCATAAAAGCCTGATGGATTTGATCTAAAGTAACTTATTCCATTAAACTGTTTTAAATTAAAAGTAAAGTAAACTATTCCATTAATAAAGGGGTTTTCTGACTATGTCATGCTTAAAAAATAGCCGCAATAAAACATAAAGGCAAGGTCAAAAAACATTTCATATGTTTTCATCCATTTCATCCAAGACCTTCATATGAAAAGAAATGTGTTTTTTTTTTTTTAAATGTGTACTATTGATTTCACCAAGCCCTGATGTCAAACTGACTTGTGCTCACACCAAGTGTGATACAAAGCCGTATTCAGAGTGTTGTGATATTGAGCTCAAACCCTTGTCGTTGTGTCCTTTGTTAGATCTACCCAGACGAAGGACACTTCATTCACAACGAGGGAACGCGGCAGCACCTCAGCCAGTCGCTGGTCAACTTCTTCGAGGAGTGCTTCCGGCTCCCGGATCAAGTGTTCGAGGAGGCGCTGGAGGAGGAAAGCGAAGAGGAGGGTTAGTCCACCTGTTCCATGATGTCCAAGCACAAAGCCAGCTCCTTTTGCCACATAATATGCAACCCATAGATTTGAAGCCACCAGTTTTCAGTTCCCTCCCAGTGTAGCATGCCGAGTCTGAGACCGCCCTGCCTCGTGTCCCTGCCTCCGCTCCCCTTCAGGTGCTCCTCACTATCATCGACCCTCGACCGTGGCATCTGGCTGGCGCCACATCGTCCCGCTCTCCCCAGCAGGCCAGTTATGAGCTTCTGAAGGTGTTAGGAGTCTCTGGTCTGTCCATCAGGTTGACGGATGAGATGCTGCGATATGAACTGACCGCCAAGCACGTTTGGCATTTGAATCCCAGAGAGCTGTGGGACTCGCGGGAGTTGAAACAGCGAGACTGAGGGGGGGTCATTCGGTGTTTGATTCAAATAGATATTTGGTGTTTTGGGCAAAAGGGGTGTTGTTGTCGGGAGAACGTGTCATTTGTGGTTCGAAAGGTCTTCTCATGTCCAATTGTGCTCATGTCTGGTGTTGCAATGTAAAGTCGCACATGAAAAACATTCACTTGGATATCGATAAAACTAGTTTTCAGTGTTTCAAGCGTGTCCGAGTCTTGGAAATCTTGTAGCCTCAAGTGTGTATTTAGATGGTGTTTTATTCATTGCAGAAACTTCATCAAGCAGAAGGGGAGCGAAAACGACTCTCATTATTCTCACAGACCGTGACAGTTGTACAAGACTGTTGATCCCACTTCTCAGCGTGTGTTTCCTTGAAGTGATGGTCTGTCAGTGCTGGAGAAAGCACTCTATGTTGATTTAGTCACTGTGCCTTATTACGGGGGCGAACGATCCTGTTCGAAGAGCCTCCTTGTGAATATCACCAGTCATTCGAGGCTTACGTTTGATTAACTAAAATCCTGTGTCTAAAACGCTCGCATTACGTGGCCATCACAAAATCTATTATTGCCTGTAATAGCATCAGGAGAACACTGTTATTTTTACTTGCGCATGTGTGAGCTGATGTTGTTTTACCGTCAACGGTACGAACTCGCTCGCATCCTGCTAACAGCGGTTTTCCATCCACTTTAAGAATCGAGTAATGGAGCATGAAATTAAAATGTATGATTTCAACATTACCTCAGTATTAAACTAAAGCCCCTCTGAGGGTTTACAGACACTTTGTAGAACATTTGCTGATTCATGGCCAAAACAAATCTGTACATAGAAAGTATATTAAGTAGGGTAGGAAACACTTTTGTGTTAAAGGGATTGACATTGACTCGACCCTCACGTTGTTCCAAACCTGTATTACTTTCAAGAGATGTTTAGCGGAACGCTCATGCTATTCTTTCTTGAATGGAAACAAGCCCTCAGCGTTTCATGGAGCAGGTCATACAGGTTTGCAATGAGGGTTGAGTAAATGATGACAATATCTGTCCCTTCAACTCATTAAATACAGCATTGTGCAAATGTTTCACATTACAGCAGAGGCCAACTCACTCCAGTCGGCATTTATATTATTTGATTCACGTATGGTACGTTTATATGTTTTGCACAGTACTGTATATAAACAGTTATTGGTTGTAACTTTTTTCCTATTAAAGCTCTTGAGGATGAATTTAATTTTGTGTGGATGAAATGTTCATGTTTAATCTTGATGCATTCACAGTGCATGTCGAAAAACTATTTGAAACTCAAAAGGTATTTTTTAAAAACGGTCAAATATCTGCATAGTATTTTTGACGGCTTGAATGTTCAAACTTGCATTTCATTTCCGGTAGTTTTGTGAGTGAGATCTCGGTCTTGTCTGCTTGATGTATAAATGTTACTCAAATATCATTTAAGTCTCTGAATATCTGAGTGTTTCTTGTACATAAAGCATTTGAAGGTATTTTGTTCTCCTGTGTCGAGCAGAGCGGCGGAGGTCACGGTTACTATGAACTGAAATGCGCAATGAGAAAAAAAAATCAAATGGGACCAAGAGTTTGATGGGATTGCTGTTTCTGACTCAGCAAGAACAGTCATATTGTGGCACCTCTCAGAATACAAACTATTTTATCATCACCTTTGTTATGATTTGTTTTCCTCACTTGGAGAAAAGAGGATGAATATGTAAGTAACCAAAATAAACTGAAAGCCTTCAATGTTGATGTCCTGCTTTCTTGTGATTTAAGTGAACGAGTGCATTTACACACATGACCTTGAGACAGCGAACACTAAGGTTATGTAAATAAATGTCTTGGAAGGTGTTGGTTTGTTTTGTTTTTATCTGGGAAATGTCATAAACGGTTTAAATAAAACTCAATCAGCAGATCCACATTTTTGCCTGTGATCGATTCAGTGTTGCATATAAACACCTTTATCACCGGATCTGTCCGCTTATTCACTCTTTTGAAACAGTCCACAATGAGTAGGTGAATTGGTAATAGGTGAGGGTGTCATGTTTGGGTGAAAAAGGAGCTTCTCAGTCTTTGCAAGCAAAGATGGGTCATGGCTCTGCCAAATATCATGAGAGAATTGTCAAACAATTCAAAAAGCACATTTCTCAATGCAAGATTGTAAAGAATGTATGTCTTTCACCATCTACCATGTAATATTGTGCAAAGATTCAGGGAATCCAGAGAAATCTCAGATGGTCTAAAACAGACAGTGGAAATGTGTGCTGTGGTCAGATGAGTCCATGTTTCAGCTTGTTTTTGGGGAAAACAGACATTGAGTTCTCAGTCCCAAAGACCAAAGGGACCAACCAGATTTTCATCAGCGACAGGTGCAAAAGCAAACATCTGTCCTGGTATTGGGGTGCATCAGTGCAAGCGGTATGAGTGACTTGCATTTGTCTGAAGGCATCACTGACATGGAGGCATATATTGGGATTTTGCAGAGACATAAACTGCCATCAAGATGACGTCTTTCCTGGGAAGCAAGACGATGCCATGCCTCATTCTGCACATGCTAAAACTGAGTGGTTTCTAGACACTCTGCACCATAGAAGGGATGTGCCTGCCTCCAATCCAGATCTGCCTCTTATTGAAAATGTATGACCCATCATGAGCAGTTGTCTTATATCAGACAAGATTGGGCAAATATTCCATTTCCAAAACTGCAACAATTAGTATACTTGACTCCCAAATGATTAAAAAGTGTAATTAAAGCAGCACTCAGTAGGAATTCCGTTTTTGTCAAACAGCGACCCCTAGAGTCGCTGTGGAGTACTTGTACTGACGTGAATAGCACTCACGCAGAGATGGCTCGCACTCACGGCCGGATCCCCTCCTCCTGTACACCGGTACCTGTTCAGTAGGATGGACGCTGTAACGAGTGGAAATAAGGTATGGCCCCTTTAGGAGCTGCGCGCGCCCAACACCACATGTATACGGCGCCGGGTTATTTCTGTTTGATGCTCATTTTATCAGAATTTTATCAGATCTGTTTTTTTTTGCCGTAAAGCAATTCGTTACCTCGGGAGACCTGATATCACACGATACTTCCTAACACCCGCCGGCCCAAAGTTGCAAGGGTGGTTTTGCGGCTCACAGGCACCAGGGGGGTGCGAGACGACCACCATTCAACACGAAATCAGTAATATAAACATTACAATGACTCCAAAGCTGTTCGGTTAAGGTAAAAAAAGTTACTTAGTTCACCTTTAAAAGGAAAGGTGATGTGACACACTGGTAAACATGCCTCTGTCCTAACTTTTGTGGAGTGTGTTGCAGCCATCAAAATCAAAACTTGTTTATATTTACAAAATAAAATCAAGTTGGTCTGTGAAAACATTGGACATATTTTCTTTGTACATTTGTCAGTTAAATAAAGGTTCAAGAGATTTAACAAATCACAGAATCTTGATTTTATTGCATTTTACAAAATGTCCCAGCTATTCTGGAAATGGGGTTGTATTGGGAAGAATGTTGATAAAGCAAACTGTTTTGGTTACCATTGACTTCCACTGCATGGAGGGGAAAAACTGATACATATCTCAAAATATCTTTTTTTGTGTTTGACAGAATAAAGAAAGTCATAGAGGTCTGGAACAACATGAGCTTGAGTGAATGTTGAGTGAAATCTCTTCAAGAGGGAAAAAACATTTTGTTTGCCTTGTCAGTTTATTTATGCAACAACAGCAATAGGATTAAAAAAAAACAATGATCAATAAATTATTTTTATTAATAATATTCAAAAAGATTAATTCCACCAAGTAATATTTCATTATGTAACTGTAGACTGTTTGCTGTTGCCAGAAATTTAGCAACTATCAGTATAAACAGGCTTTTTAAATAAAGTTATCAACACTAAATTAATAAAACATCTGAGAGGTTATGATAAAGTACAATTAAGACTAGATTATGGACTTACATGAAAAGCATTTGAGCTATATCTAAGCATTTGATTATACATTACTGTCACCTTGTGTTCAGATTTGATGGAATTATAATGTTTGGGGTTTCTTGACAGACTTTGCCATCAAGTGGACATGTCCAGGTATTGCAGGTCTCACTGGACTCTCAGAAATGAGTCTTGTATCATAGTTTCTACTTCATCTGTGAGCGTGTTATAGTCAGCCTGACATACTTTATGTGGATTATATCCGCTGTTTCCCATGCACTTCAGCAGAGCGTCATGCATCTGCTCTCGGCCTCCAATCCTGCAGAGTTCATCCAACTGCTCAACAGGATCCGGTGGGATATCTTGACACTGAAGGGCTTTTAAGACAGCCGGAGCAAACTTCCCGTGGTGTGCGGTGGAGCATATGACAAGCGGGCAGGTTTCGTCATGTATACGATCGGCGACTACTTTCCCCACCGCTGTGTGAGTGTCCATTATGAAGCCTGTTGTCGCGTGCACCTCCCGTATGGCCCTCAAACAGTCTTCCTCAGAGCACCAACCAGCTTGAACTTCCAGATTTATCTTCTGCCGTAAAGTCTCCGACACTTTAAAGATGCGGTCTCTTTCTAGATTCAAAAACAGATCTCTGACAAGACTTCCATCACCACCGGAAGCGTGATGGATGAACCTCTCAAGGTTGGAAGACTTCAGGATATCAATAGCAGGGGAGTTTGAAACCTGCAGTTTCCGGTTGCGGAGATCATACTTGCCGCTAGCGACGAAGTCGGATATGATGCAGTTATGATTGGATGCACAGATCACCTTCCGTATGGGGATTCCCATTTGTTTGGCATACAGGGCTGACATGGCATTGCCAAAGTTTCCGGTAGGGATGCACACGTCAATGGGGTCTCCAAAAGTCAGCGTGCCCTTTCTAAGCAGGTCCATGTACGCCGAGCAGTGATAGACCACCTGAGGAAGCAGTCGGGCCCAGTTTATCGAGTTTGCGGTGCTGAGAACCGTGGCATATTCCACAGCTAAATGTCCGATCAAGCTCGAGTCCCCAAACATTCGTTTAATGCTCCTCTGGCAGAAGTCAAAATCGGACAGGACGCTGATGGACTTGGCATTGCCCTCTTGAAATCCTGTCATCTGTACCTTCTGAATCTCACTCACTCCGTTCTCCGGGAAAAACACAAGCACGCCGATCCTCTCCCGGTCACTGTCTTTAAGATTTCTGAAGCCGTTCAGCACCGCGCTTCCGGTATCTCCAGATGTGGCCACTAGAATCAGGTAGTTGCACATCTGTGGCAGGCAGTGGGCAAACAGCTGAGGCATCAACTGCAGTGCCAGGTCTTTAAAAGAGGCAGTTGGGCCGTGAAAGAGTTCTAGAAGATACTGATGATCAGTGAGGTGCTTTAGTGGCGCAACCGACTGATCGGCGAAGTTCTGGCCGTAAGCACGACACACCATTGTGCTCAATTCTACAGGGGACACGTCCAAAGGATGGATACAGTTTTCCAGTATGGCCACAGCTCTCGTGGCATACGGCATGCTGGATATTCTCAACCATTCTGAAGGTCCCAGTTTGGGGAAACCTTTTTTTGGTACGTAAAGCCCTCCATCTGGTGCAAGACCCTCTATGACGACATCACTGAAGAACTTGGGGTCACTTGACATTTGGCTCCTCGTTGAAACAAACATCTCTGATTCTGAATCCTCATATCTGAGCAGAGTCCTCAGGACTTTATCAGCCACGTCCTCCACGGAGTCTCCCGTTCCACAAAGGACTCTCGCATCTAGCCATTTCTCATAAAACTGCTTCCGGTAATGTAATATCTCTCTCATAGAAACACCAGCATCCTGACCCACAATCCTGTTCACCTTCATTCGAGAGAGTCTCTGCATGATATCTTCTGTGTCCACATCCAGGTACACGGCCAGTCCAGAGCGCTTCAGGTGCCGCATGGCGTCCGAATGCAGGGGATTGGAGCCGGTCAGAGAGATGACACTTCCTGTGGCTGCAAATCTGCACACTGCTTTACCTTCTTCTTCGATAAAACCATCACCACCGATTTCAGAGAGCTTGTCCGCCACACTCATTCCCCACGTCCTTTCGAGAACATCGTCATCTATATCAATAACGGGCATACCTAGTCTGTGTCCCACAATCCGCCCTACGCAGGTCTTCCCTGCTCCAGGAGGACCCATCAGGAGAATGTTTCTTGCATGCGGTTTAGAGTTTTGATTTGATAGCCGTGCTGTAGCGAAGTATGAAGGCGCAAATAGCAGGTGGGTCCTCAGCTTGATCCCTTTAGCCAACAGCTGGCCGAAACTTGCAGGGATCATCTTGGAAAAAAGATCATATAATCTAGGAAGCAGAAATATGTCATGTCAGTAGATATGATTGTAAGATTATAGAGCATTTGCTAAAATACAAAATGTAATGTTTAGGCCTGGTTTCACAGACAGGGCTTAGACCAGGGGTGGGCAAACTTTTTGACTCGCGGGCCACAATGGGTTTTAAAATTTGACAGAGGGGCCGGGCCAGGTGCATTTGGAGGGAGTGTTTGGGCCGGATATACTAAAGCATTAAATGTAGTGTGTGCAAACCTCATAGCACAGTAAGAACACTACAACCCAATTTATTAACTGTCTTTCAAATGTGAAAAATAGCCCTTATCAGTTAATAAATTTGTCTCAAGGAATATGCAAGATATGGCATTTACATACTATTTCGCAGATACTGTGAGGAGGAAATGTAAATAGATTAAAATAACATACGCACTGTGATTTATCAAGATTGCGTCTGTTTTTAATAAGTTTCAATCGAAGGTGCAAAGTTAAAGTAATCAACATTTATTGAAAAATGGAATCACTTTCAACATTCAAAACATATTATTACACAATGAAATACTCAAGCTCAATAATATCTACTTGTGTTAAACTCCGCAAAATCATGGATGGATTGTCCTGACCGCGCGCTCTACAAACTCTCCACGGACGCCCTCGCCTTCACGCGCAAACAGTACACGTGTATCGTTGCCAAGCACACAGACATAGGCTGTATTAAATATCCTACCTGCAGCTGAAAATTTACATTTAAATTAAGAGCGATGTGCGGCGTGTTAATTAAGCTACTGTACCGCTGCTGTGCGTAAATGCGCATTGCTCTTAATTAAAAGACGCACTTCCAAACTTTCCATATGCATTTTTTCATAACACAGCAGAAAAAATCACCATTTCAGTGGGAACAGTGTTGTTGGTCTCCCTTTTTTGCCAGTGCATCAAAGTCTGGAGTTAGTTTTGTTGTGGCAATTCTCAGGACAGATCTGAGGTGTTGGTCAGTTAACTTGGATCTGTGATGGGCTTTGTTGATTTTCATGACGCTAAACGTCTGCTCACACACGTAGGTCGAGCCAAACAACACCAGCATCTTCTGCGCCGTCCTCCGGAGGTTTGGAAACGCGGTCTCGTTAAGTGAAGCGTAAAAGTCATTCAGTTTAAGAGACTTGAACTTCTCCTTTGAGACGGAGTCAGACTGAAGATCGATCAGTTCCAATTGCAGCTCCTGCGGTGCTGATTCGGGGTCTTGTGACAGGGGACAGGACACCAGTTGAAGTGACTTGTCAATTTTTTCAAAATCACAGAACCGACGGCAAAATTCTCTGTGCAGATCGTCCAGTGATTTGCAGTATTTCTTCGCATTTCGGGCGGCCTCTTTCTGCACGGCTAGTGTGGGGAAATGTGCGAAAGATTTGTTTGACATTTGCCTGGAGAATAAAACCAGCTTGGATTTGAAGGCTTTCACATTTGTGTACATGTCGTGCGCAAACTGATCTTTCCCCTGTAGCTTCACGTTCAGCTCATTCATGTGTGAAAATATGTCCACAGCAAACGCAAAGTCACAAAGCCAGTTTGTGTCGCTCAGCTCGGGGAATTCTTCGGATTTCCCCATTAAATTAAAAAATGAGCGAATCTCGTCTTTGAGCTCCCAGACTCGTTGAAACACTTTCCCCAAACTTAACCAGCGGACGCGAGAGTGGTAAAGTAGGTCCTGGTGATCCGCATTAGTTTCTTCCAGGAACGTAATGAACTGACGATGATTAAGTCCCCTTGCTCGTATGAAGTTAACAAGTTTTACAACTGGATCCACGACGTGATTAAGCTGCAATACAGACTTACACAGAGACTCCTGATGAATGATGCAGTGAAGTAAAATAACATCCTGGTCAGGGTTTTCTTCTTTCACTTTATCCTGGATTCTTTTCAGCAGCCCGATGTTTTTTCCAGTTAAATTTGGCGATCCATCCGTGGTGACATTGGCAAGTTTATTCCAAGGTAGCTTCATTCTCTCGATGACAGCAGACACCTGTTCATATAAGTCCTCTCCTCGCGTTTTCCCTTTCAGTGATTCCATGCTCAAAAGCTCCTCCGTTATCTCAAAACTGTCGTTAATCCCTCGGATAAAAATTAGGAGCTGAGCAGTGTCTTTTATGTCGTTACTTTCATCCAGTGCTAGTGAATATAACTTAAAGGACTCCGCCTTTTTGTTTAACTCGCTGACTATATCTTCGTCAATCAGTTCCACGCGGCGAGTCACTGTCCTGCGTGCTAAACTGATTTTTTCAAACTTGGCTTTGCTCTCCGGACACAAGAGACCTGCTGTCTCTACCATGCACTCTTTCAAAAACTCGCCTTCGGAGAAAGGCTTGCTAGCCTTTGCTAATTTGAATGCCAGCAAATAACTTGCCTTGGTACTTGACTCTTGAATTGCAGTTTGTCGGTGAAAAAAGTTCTGTTGACTCTGTAAATTAGCTGCCAACCTCTGAGCAGTAGCCGCCCGTTCTTGTGTTGACTGCTTGCTAGCATAGTTTGCATGCTTCGTGGCAAAGTGACGGCTGATATTGTACTCTTTGAAAACCGCTACAGCTTCTTGGCATATCAGACATACAGCCGTTGATCGGACTTCAGTGAAGAAGTATTTTGTTGTCCACTCTTTATTAAACACTCGGCATTCGCTGTCCACTTTCCTTCTCTTTGGTCCGCTCATTTTTACAGAAGGGCTTAATGGTGACGTGAAACGAAGTGAAAATTAAATTGAAATAAAGAGAAATACGCGCCACTCCAACAACGGTCAATGTGTTTTGAGTGCGCCATCTATTGGGGAAACGTGGGCATTGCAGGGAAAGGGGAAAAAAGGAGGTTTTTACTATAATTTGGACAAGTTCGGCGGGCCGGATTAAAAAGCCTAACGGGCCGTATGTGGCCCGCGGGCCGTAGTTTGCCCATGTCTGGCTTAGACTAAGCCAGGATTATGCCTTAGTTCAATTAGAGCATTTGAGTAGCTTTAATAAAAGTGTCTTAGAAAAAACTTACTGGTGTGCGTCTTGAGACAAAACAATGGCACTGACATATTTTAAGATATGTCAGTGCAAGTTGCTTTTATTTAAAACAGCTCAAACATACATTTTAGTCTGGGACTATCTTAAGACTCGTCTGTGAAACTGAGGGATATTGTGTTGGTTTAATCTATGTAAAGATTTGTTTTAATAAACACATAGCCTGTCCCAATGGAAACCTAAGCCTTCGCTGTCTTTCTCCAGTTCCACAATTTCATGACATAACGCTGCTTTGTCTGTCGGGTGAAAGTCTGCAGATGCACATGAAGTGTGCCGTTTAGAACAGGGCCTTAAAAGTCTTAAAAGCCTTAAAACGCAAGTATCGACATATGTTTTCTTCTGCATTGTGATATCTTAGTGTAACAAATTATTGAAAAGGAATAAAAGTAGGGCAGGGACTTGGTTCCACTCGCTGAATTTTGAAATGTGGGCTTGCGGGGGTGGTTTAATCAGACTAAATGATTGGAGAAGTCTGGCGTGCAGTAGGTACATCACCAGAGAGTCTGGCGTTTCACTGCATAATCAAAATATATTAAAAGGTCAAAAAAAATATATATATATGCATGGATGGAATAAGAAACATGCATTTAGAAAATAGATAGGATGATTTTTTTCCTGCCGACTTCAAGCACTGATGTGGTGTGCAATTTAAATCTATTTAGTCATAAGTCCACATAACATTTAGCTTTTAGCAATCAAATAATAATTTTTTTTATGTTTTCATTATTTGGCTGGACATGAACATGAAACGAGTGCAACATGGGGAAAAAAGGATTTAGTTTTTATCAACTTCAAGCGATTACATAACTTTAATTAAGACGATGTATGGCACTTATCTGGAATATATTTTAAAATATGACATGTAAGTTACCTTAAAATGCAGAGAGAAAAAAAAATAACAAACTGTCCTTATTATTATGTCTATCTGACAGTCTGTCTATCCGCAGAATATTCGGTTTGCAGTTAATGTTTTCTGATAGGAGTACATGATTACGTATAATAGATGTACACAAATATTAAGGCAATATGTAGAGTACAAAAAGTAAGATTTACCTAAAGCACAACGTTTATCTGACTAACAGCCCAATCTCACTTTCACGTGCGCGCATAGCGTGGGACATGTAAACAAATCACGTCAGTACGGCAACAGCAAAAGGACATTTTCCGTTTACGCTCTGAGCCCTACATGGCCTTCGTCACACGCTCTCAATCAGCTCTCAATAGTACCGTCTTTTTCAAATCATAATACTAAAACAAATCTTTTGCATGTACATGTTTTTTAGTAAGGTTTGTTAAACTTGGACGTTTAAACAACTGAAACTATAAGAATCTTTTGTGACTAATGCGGGAGAAAATAAAACAAGGGGAAACTGTTTAATGTTGCTTGGCAGTGGTTGTCATAGAGACGTTTGTTAAATAACACCAGCCATTTTATGCTCATAAAACAGTGTGCAGCGGGACCTTCTTTTTCCTCTCATTTTTGTCTCTATTATCAGACATCATGAGCAACATCATCTATCCTGCAGAGAGCATCTATAACCTTATTCCCAGAGAGGAAGAAAAAGCCATGAAAGCGCCCAGGTAGAGTTTCAGCTTTAAGATCAAATTAATACCACAATAAGCTAATATTATAGCTAAGTGTTCTATCTTTTTTCTATTTCTCTTTTGATTTTAAAAAATTGTTTATTTATTTACATTGTAACACCATTTTCTCACATTGTTACAATTAAGTACAATTCCCACCAGGTCTCATAATGGGAAGCGTATTAAAACTGATCTATTTAAATGGTAAAGTATTTGTAAAGTTACTTGTTCTTGCATTAATTCTTTTAATGAGTAAGTTAAGTTAACGTTATGTAATGTGAATCCTGTAAGAACGGTTGTCAATACACTGTAAAAAAAAAAAAAAAAAAAAAAAAAAAAGTAGCTGCCTTCCATTTTTAAGTACAATCAACTTGGATGTTTAAGTTATTTAAACTGATTTAAAAAAAGTTGAACCTTGTATAAATTATAAAAAAAGAAGATTGCTTAACTTACTTTGTGAGTTAAAAGCAATGTAAAAACATGTTGTCATAACTTGTTGATCATATGATTTTTGCAGTGTATAGAATTAGGCTAGTGTAGAAAGAATTAATGGGAAAACTATAACTTACTTAATTGAAATTGATGTCAACATGTGAAATATATTTTAAAAATGTATTTAAAGTTTGATTATTATATTATATTTCCTATTGATTTCGGGTTGAAAGACCTAGACATTTTTTTTTTTGTGAGATTCATCCATTAATATCATTAATATAATTTCCAGGTACATGTCAAAGTTCAGAGAGCAGGTGAAGCTGGAGAAAGAGGTGAACAAATCCCCCAATAAAACAATGGGACCAGCAAAAGTGGACGTACCGTTGGCAACAAACTATCTACAGAAACACTCCAAGGAACCAAAACTCCCTGAGAGTACATGTCCTTCGTTTGCTGTTTAAGACATTTTGAGCATTCGTTATATTATGTCTGTTTTTAAATACAGATAGATATCTTTTAACTACAATCATAAAATGCCAGTTTCATGTGTAGACCACTAAAGCTTTGCTTGGATCATTTATTTACTATTTCAGAGAAACCATTTAAATATGAAGATGATGAGCTACATGGTAAACCACCAGTACCTGCAAGAACAGAGAAGCCGCTCATGGGTCTCTACTCCAACAAGAACTTTATTAAGACCAACGCCGTTGAGAACATCATGGCACTCCCAAAGAAAGTGCAGCCAGTGTATGCTGACACCAAGAAGGGGGACAAACAGCCGCTGGAGAACTCTGGTCTCATCCCGAAATTCATAAAGAAGAAGGTGAGGAGAGTGATGTGAAAGTGAGTTTCATGTTTCAGTTGCTCTTGTATTTCATCATGCATACAAAACATACTGTGCACAGTATACACACTGCCGGTGCTGGGTAGCAACTGATTACATTCAATCTGGATTACATATCAGATTCCAAAAATGACTTTTAAAATACTCGTAATCAGACTACATGTAACTTTTTATTGATTAGCCTACATATTTTAGTAAATCATTCATTATGTATTGATGCTCACTAATTCTTCTTTTTTAATGTTTTACATTTTCCTTTCTAAAAAAGCATATCACTTAGGCCTACATACATTCAGAAAGACTTCTAGTTTTGTGAAATTGCACACACAGACCAGCCACTATAATTACATGGACAATTGAGAGGCCACAAAGTACTGGATTTCATCACAAATCATTTCACTTTTTAGAAGTGTTTTTTTTTTTTTTTACATTGCAACTTTGCAAATCTAATTTTACTGTGTATTGCTATGTCTTTGGAAGCCTGTTGTCTTTCAGACACATTTTTTATTATAATTTTTATTATTTTTAAATGATTTATTTTCATTTTAATGATTTAATTATTAGCTCTTCATTAAACTCACAGACCCCCTGCAGTTCCATCACAAACCCTGCCGTAATATGCACAGCGCTTCTGGGTTGTACGTCAGAACGTAGGCTCACTATTGCTGGGTTTCAGTCACGTGATTATGATGACGCGCGGAATTCAGATGGAGGGCAGGGAGTGAAGAGCGCAATGGACGAGATGGAGGAAAGTCCGTACTGTACTACTTTACACGCTATTACAAGAGAAAGATATAAACAAAAAATCAAACATATGTTGGACGTGATCCTTACATTATGAAGAGGAGCGATTTTTCAACTGAATTGAAAGATTTTCCTGCCATCGAGGCGGTAGATATCAGCAACTACCTCGTCTTACACACATACTTTGACTTTACAAAGTTCGGAAACGTTACACGTTACACAAACATAGCCACTTAAGTTGTATTAACTCACCTTTGACGAAGTGATCTCTGCACACACAGGCATTTTCCCATTCGGCTCCTCCCGACCGCAGACGTAGGTTTGCAAGCCGTTTTTCCGGAGTTTTTCGGTCAATTTCTTGCATTTTCCCCTCTTATGAACAACAACTTTTGGTACACGATAAAAACTCCTCGTGGTTTGATCGATTTAAGTAACCATAAACGACGCAAAACATAGGCACTTTGAGTTTGTTATAGTGCTTTCTAAATACAGCAAATCACTTCCTGCCCTCCATTTGCATTTCGCGCCATGGCAACGCAGTGGTGTGACGTCATATGAAAACAAGCTATTGGCCGATGCTGGTCATGTGTGTGATGCGTGTGATGTACAACACAGAAGCGCTGCGCTGTTACACTACGTGAACTCACTCAGAGGCCCACAGAGAAGAAAATGAATAGTTGAATAAAGTTTTTGGGGGGGGGTTTTTGCGCACAAAAAGTATTCTCGTCGCTTGATAGACGTATGGTTGAGCCACTGTAGTCACTCGGACTATTTTAAACATTGTTTTTACTAACTTTTCTGGGCCGGCAAGTTTCAATAACATAGAAGCCTATGGAGGAGTGAGACAGCTCTCAGATTTAATCAAAAATATCTTAATTTGTGTTCCGAAGATGAATGAAAGTCTTACGGGCTTGGAACAACATCAGTGTGAGTAATTACTGACAGAATTTTCATTTTTGGGTGAACTATCTCTTTAATGCACTTCATGTTGTTGATAACAAAGAATGGAATATATTTTCTTTCTTTTTGTATTTTTATATCAATATCTTTTCTCTCTTAATTTAAAAAAAGTCATAATTCGAAATCAGTAATCGACTACAATTTGTAAGTAATCTACCCAGCACTGCATACTGCAAAAACAGTAAGAAAAGCCTCAGGCCTGTTTTTTTATGCATGTTCTCAGGACTATGGCCAAACTCCAGAGTACCTGCTTCAGCGCAGACAGGAAGTCAGGAAAGCACAAGAGGAATACGACAACTATGTCAAGGAGCGGATGAGAGAAGGAGCCATGAAACAGCTCTCTGGTGAAGAACGACACTATATCCTACAGGTAAACAAATACAAATGTACTCCGAATGAAACAATCTCTAACTGTTTATAGCCTGTGTTCTGATGGAAGGAACATACGTCATCTTCCTCGAGAACTTGCTGAACTAGCAGCATTAATCTCCTGGTGAGCAATTGCTTGTGTTTGTACTGTAGTTGTCCCTCAGTTTGTAAGTTGTGTGTTGGATAAAAGCATCTGCTTTATGGGTAAATGTAAACAAAATGAACATGACCTTTTTTTAAATATTAAGATTTTAAGCACAAATGTAAATGATTTTATAAGGGAAAACATATATTTTTTATGACTGGTCACCGTCTTTTTAAGATTTTACATCATGTTTAATCTTCTGCAGATTACTTAAATCGTCCTGAAGTGTAATGAATACTTTAAAGTACAAATATTCCATGTTAGTCTCTCGCTTAATATGAGATCATAGAGACTGCATGTACAGTACACTACCGTTCAAAAGTTTGGGGTCGGTAAGATATTTAAAATGTTTTTGAAAGAAGTCTCTTTTCCTCACCAAGGCTGCAATTATTTGATCAAAAATACGCACAAAACATTTTGATTGACTTTATATTTTACCATATTTTAAAATGTTATTTATTTAATTAATTGTCAACATTATTACTCCAGTCTTCATTGTCACATGACCCTTCAGAAATCATTATAATACGCTGATTTGGTGCTCAATTAAAATTTCTTTTTTTTTTTCAATGTTGAACAGATGTGCTGCTTAATAATTTTGTGGAAACCGTGATACTTTTTATCAAAATGGAATGTTCAGAAGAACAGCATTTATTTTGAAAACTTATTTTTGATAACAATTTACTTAAAGCCTTTACAGATCCTTTATAAAGGTATTCATAATGTATGTTATAATGCATTTTCTGAAATAGTTGTAACCAAAGTTAAAATACATTACATATTTGCACATTCCTTGTTACATCTGCAGTTGGTCGTTTATTATTTGTTTTAATGCATTGTACTTTCTAAAGGTGTAACAATGAATAGTATCATGTATTATAACTGTGGTTACAATCATTCATGTGACCATATTATAAGGTGCATTACAAGGCATAATTTATGGGTAAAGGGTAAAGTGTTACCCATTTTTTTTGTAACATTATAAATGTTTTGCTGTCATTTTTGATCAATGTGTTCTTGCTGAATGAAAGTGAAAGTGTGAAATTTCTTTAAAACATTTTACTTGATCGCTGAACGGTAGTGTTTAATAATTATACAATGGTTTTTATATTACAAGATATGTCTGATGAATTGATGACTTTTGGCAGGCTCTGAAGAAGAACTGGGACGACCTTCATCATCAGTACCAGGGCCTCTCTGTTGTCACAGACACAGCACCCAAAAAATACAGGAAGGAGCGTCTGGAGCAGGAGATGAACCAGCTGGAGAGAGATATTGACCTGGTGGAACGACACAAAACCATCTACATTGCTAATAACTGAGCGGGATGTTAGCCATTTCAGCAAATATGCAAAAACAACATTTGAAACTCTACTCATCCTCTTCTGGTCCTTCAAGATTAGTTTAAAAGGCTTCTGTAAAGTTCTACAGCAACAGATCTGAGTGCAATAAAGATAATTTTAGATAACCTGAATGGTCTCTGAGTAATTTCATCCCTTTAAAGTTGACGCGAAATGAAAATGATCTCTGTTTACTTTCTTAACATACTGTACATCAGGGCCGTGCACATAAATTTTGGAGGTGCTGAAGCGAAAAAAGGGCATCCCTCTTATAATTATTTATAAAAAGTAAAGTTACCGTACATATTGTTGATCATCATTTGATTAGTTACACTATTTAACGCTATAGGGCTGTTGTACCAATTACATGAAATCAGTAGAAAAAAAATCCATCTTACCATTTATCAAAATTCATTTACACAGCAATTACAATTGCCTAAATAATTTTACAAAATGAATCCTTAATATAGCATTTTGAATATATAAATATGAAATTCTGGGGGGAAAGAAAATAAGACTAGCTATTATGAAACTAAAACTGCCACTAGGTGGCGGCAAGTCGTAATAAACGAATCATAGAATATTCATTCAACTTCAAGTTCACGAAAGTTCATGAAAGAGTCAAGTGTACATTGAATTTATGATTGGGTAGGCTAATTGAATCATTGACTCACCTGATTCGCTCAAAAACGGTGAATCATATCATTCAAGAACGAAACACCGCTGTGTGTTGCTGGGAGACGCAACAATTCTGCTGTTTGGAACTATTTTTTGTTGCCAAAATAGAGCAAAAAAATTCAAAATTGACAACGTTGTGTCTAAAAATGTTCAATTCATATAATCGACTTAAACTGTACTGTTGTATAAAATGAATACAGGAGGCTATAGGAGTGTTATTTTCTGATATTCGAGAAAATACCACTCCTCGTGTGGTATAGTCATGTTGTTTTGTTACAATGTTATGGTAAATTCTTTTCAGTACAAACAAACAATATAACACTCGCTGACAGTTTTGTTAAGATTATCTGTGTCCAGAGGAGAAAGTAGGCTCGTGAATGAGATTTTGTTGTGCTGATGTAGGCTATAGTTCTCCTTTTATGTTCAACATGACGAGTTAAAACATCTAATTATGTGACTCATGTGAAAGAACACATCTCCATTCATAAAAGCCATTAGAAATATTTTTAACTAAACTATGATATCCATGTCTATCAAAAAGGAAAGTATCGCCATATATTGATAATGAAAACATGTAAAACGCATCCCACTGTGTTTAGTGATGTAAAGTGGGTGTGTGCAGTGTGCACAAACATCTCGTCCTCTCTCAGGAAGCTTCAGTTTAATGCACTCTTACACACCACGAACATGGCAGATGTCCAGAGAAAAGAACCAGGCGTTGTGGTAAATATTCCTGACATATTGAATTTTATTTATTACAATTGCAACTGAAATGACAAGACAACTTGTTCATTTTGCATAGTATGTTTTCTTTCTTCTTTTTTAATTTCTACTTACAGTAAACCTTACCATTCTGTTTTATATCCTATTCATTGACTGTTGATATAGATTAAAGACGGGTGGTCAGGTTACAGTTTGGAGCTGTTTAATTATCCTGAGCATTACCAGGGTGATCTGGAGTGTGTGTACATCCCTCATGGAGTCATTATGAACAGGTAAACACACTGCTGACACATATCATAACTGTGAAAATGTGAAAATCCATGTTAGTTCACTGTGCATTAAGTGATAAACTACACAACTTTAGATCAAATCAGATCATTTGGTCAAATTGTATGAGAAATTTGAGTTCATATTGAGATTTCTGACTTTGCAAATAGATCTTGGCAAATCTGAGCTCAGTTTGAGACTTTGTGGAGACATTTTCTGAAACTCTAGTATAGATCTGTGAAACTGAAATCACTAGGATCTTTTTCTCAGGAGAAAAATCTGAGGAGCTGAAAACTTAAGCAAAATGTTTGAGAAACAAGTTGGATATTAATGAGATATTGTAATTTAAAACTACTTCTATCTACTAATAAATTTTTGTTACTTATTTATGTCTGGCATTTTGTATTGAAAACCAAAAACAATATTGCTAAATGCTGTTAAATATCTGTGTTTTCCTCTTGATTGGAGTAAATGAGTATGAATCTATGTAAAAACATGCAATATACTGTTTCTGCATTCAACTATTAATTTTTATCATTGTTTAGCCTTGTGCTTTCTGCTCCACAATCACATTCCAAAGTAATTTGGGTTGATCTACAACTTTGCACATTAACTTCATGTGACCATTAAATCTAATTTATGGAATCACATGACCTTCACATACACAGTTCCTAACATTGTGATCTAATGTGATTTGTAGGATTGAGTGTCTGGCCAGGGACATCCTTGAAGACATCGGACATCATGACATGATGGTTCTGTGTGTTCTGAAGGGAGGATACAAGTTCTGTTCTGACCTGGTGGAGTCAATCAAAGCTCAGAGTCGCAGCGCCAACAGAAGACTGACCACCAGAGTAGAGTTCATCCGCTTTAAGAGCTATCTGGTGAGGAGAAGCAGAAATCTTATGCATATAGCTAAAACTATAGCAGAGTGCTCTATCATGTTTTTCAGTGCATACCTTTTATAACACATCTTACCTGGTTTACCTTACTTTTTTTACTGATAAAAACCATAGTTTACACACCCCTTAAATCCACATCAATTTATGTTTACACCCAGAAATGACCAAACTTACCAAACTGTAAAAAAATAATAGGCCTACACTGCAAAATTATTAAAAAATTAGTAGCAAATAGCCCATCTTGTTAGCAAAGGCTATTTAAACTATCTCCGCCCACCATTGACTGGTTGAATCCGGTAACAAAAAAAACATCTCAGGTTACGACTGTAACCCTAGTTCCCTGAGAAGGGAACGAGACGCTGCGTCGACGGCGCTTTGGGAACGCCCCTGCGTGATTGCGTCTGAAGCTCGTATGTCAACTAGTCCAATGGCGAGAGTGAACGTCATGGGTGGATGACGTCATGACCAGGAAAGGATAAAAGCACATCCGGTCTGACCGGCGTCAGCTTCGATATAGCCGAAGCAAGTCGATCGCCTTCTCAGGGAACTAGGGTTACAGTCGTAACCTGAGACGTTCCTTTTCGAGGGAACTCACGCTGCGTCGACAACGCTTTGGGAACGACGATAGCCAAACACCAGACTTACAAATACCTGTATGGGAAACTGTGGCACTAAAGGCCCGTTCACACCAAGCACGATAACTATAAAGATAACGATAAAGATATAATTCTAAAAATCGTTCTCCATATTAAAGAATAACAGAGTTCACACCACAACTATAACGATAAAGATATGAGGAACGATATCGTTGGGATCACTTTCAGAACGATTTTTTTCCAGCTGTCGAACGATAAAACACTGACAGCCAATCAGAATCCATTCTTATTTAAAGGTCTACTTTGAAACCGCAGCGCGGGCGCGCGCGTGCTTAGAATAAAAAGACCGTTATCAGTCGTTGGTGTGGACGCATATATAGTTATCTTTATCGTTATCTTTATAGTTATCGTGCTTGATGTGAACGGGCCTTAAGTCATAAGCACCAGAGACCCTGGAGCAGCTTCCAGGTCCAGGCTATAAAACCTCAAAAATGTGAGCGGGGAAGACCAGCCCACCGCATCACACACCGCCTGTAGAGAAACCCCTGAGAGTAAGGCTTTGGAGGCCGCCATACTCCTAGTAGAATGAGCTCTGACCACCAAGGGTGACGGTTGGCCAGAAGACTCATAAGCAAGAGAAATAGCCTCAACTATCCATTTGCTGATTGTCTGATTAGATGCTGGAAGACCTTTCTTAGGTGACCCAAAGCAGACAAACAGCTGATCTGATTTTCTTCACGAGGCAGCTTTGTGGACATATGTGTCAAGTGCTCGCACTGGACATAGAAGATTCAGCTTTTCCTGGTCCTGAGTAGTAAAAGGAGGAGGACAGAAAGCTTGCAACACGATAGGCCTTGGAATATTGATCGGCACTTTAGGGACGTAGCCCTGCTTAGGGTACAGAAATGCCTAGACCATCCCAGGTGCGAATTCAAGGCAGGTGGGACAAACCGAAAGGGCCTGAAGGTCTCCGACTCTCTTTAGGGACGAAATAGCCAGAAGAAAAATGGTCTTAAAAGTCAGAAACTTTTCTGAAACTGATTCCAGGGGCTCGAAGGGAGCCACAGATAGGCCTTCTAGGACTATAGCAAGGTCCCAAGTCGGAACCCGTGTATGAGTTGCAGGCAGTGGCGTAACTATCGGTAAGCAGGGTACGCGGTTGCTTACGGGCCCGGACCAATCAGGGGCCCGCTTGACTGGAAGATATTGATTGACAGCCGGGGCCCCCTATCGCATTATTACTACTTTTAGTTTGATCTCATTTGACTTTATCACGATTTTGTTTTAAATAAATAATGACAACAACATATTTTACAGATCATTAAATACATGTGTGAAACGAACAATCATGGATTTTGGTGTAATTTATTTTGAGCTGGGACTGGGGAATCCCCGGGTCGGCTGTTTACACGCGCGCGCCACTTCATGCGTTTTCTCAGATCGGATAGCTACTGATTTATCAAAACGATTCCATTTACAGCTGGTCACATAAATGTGTTTTTGCAAAACAGATATAAATCCGATCTTCAATTTCCGCGCTATATGCAGATTTAATAGAGTTCACGTCACCGAAAGCAACAGATAAGCTGCATTTTATTGATCATCAGCTAAAATTTCTAAATCGAAGACCTTAATTAGAGAGAGCGGCAACAGTACTGGTAAGATCATTTCGTTTCTTTACTTTTAATGAAGATGATTGTGTGTTAAGCGAGCGTCTGCGACTTACTTTCACTTTGATTTGCGATAGTTTGTGCATTGGCTTGATAGATGCTCATCTGCGGTGATGCGTGTTGTTGCAGAAGCGTCGTCATATCTGACTATGACATATAGCCTATAACACGCTCTCACACGTTTATTTTTTTAGCATTTTTAAAGGAGTAAAATTGACATATGTGGTTTCAACAACCAGATGCATTTACACTTGTCCAGTGTCGTCTGGAATGCGGCCCAGACCACCCCCTGAAGTGG